GCAGTTTATAGCATTTCTCATAACCCAACATGGCTCCCATCTCACTCTGACTATAGGCTAAAGTCCTAAACAAAGCCTACAAGATACAATACAATCTGTCCTCTCTCTTCTACTCTGACTTCATTTCCTACTCCTCTCTTTTGTACCTCTGATTTTAGCAACAAATAATCTGGAAAAAAGCTGATGATAACTTACTATATAATAATTTTATTTCAATAATGAATATCATCCATATGGAATAAGGTATTTATTTGAAATTTTATCTAAATACCTAATTCAGTATATTTACAATTAAAAAAATAACAGATACTTAAAACTTAAAAATATAATGAATCTTCCCAGAAAACTTATACAATACAAAAACTTTGTATACTATTTCAAGACTCCTGTGGGCCCCTCTTATGGCCATTCACAAAACTTCCGCAGAACAGAAAAATGGATAGCACTGATTAGTTGAAAGAAAAGAATGTGAAAGTATTATTTTTAAAAGTGTTTTAGGGTTCTTTTGTTTTCTCTTGATCAGAGCAGATTCCTGGATCACTGACCCTCACAACAAGACACCTGTTTAAATTTAACCAGAACCATAATTTCAGAGTCATTCAAAAGCTCAAAGCCTTCTCTATGACTTATTAAAGTCCCAGGGCATTTTTCCTTCTAGACACCTGAACCTTCAAAAGCTACCTCACTTCTGCCCTCCCTGTTCAATATGGACCTCAAGCCTAGCTATCTCACCAATTCCTACAAATAAACAAACAAACAAATAAATAAATAAAAACCAACTCACAAATTAAGCTGGGCATGGTAACATGCACGTGAATTTCCAGCTATTTGGGAGGCTGAGGCAGGAGGATGGCTTGAGCTCAGGAGTTCAAGACCAGCATGAGCAACATAGTAAGACTCCAGTTTAAACTCAACTCTCCCAAATCAACTTTAATACAGAAAAAAAAATCCAGGATTTTGAGGAGCAAAGAAAAAGTCATGTCACAAAGCATGGCATTCTGCAATTCTGCTGGCTACACTACTTTGCTCCTGCCTCCTTTTCCTTTCTCCTATCCGAACAAACCAATTCTTTTCTAAAATCAGTTCTCCTGACTGTTTTACTTTGTTCCTAAAGAACATTCATAAGCAAACACAATTCCCTTCCTAAAAAGAACAATGGTTCTTATAGTACATATCAATCATGGAAATGTTTTAATAATTTAAACATTTTAAAGAACATTTAAAGTCACTGGTGAATGCATCACACAGAAATAATCAACATCATTATTTTGGTATGTCTCCTTCAAGTGTTACCATCTATGTTACCATCAATAAATTTTAAAAGGGATCTACTTCTTTAAAAGGAATCCATGTCTATCCCAATTCTCATATCAAGATAAGAAAATGGGGGATCTCAGCATCGTCTTTCAAACACAAAAAGGAGGAGGAATTTCACACAAAAATGTTTTACACAGCATCTCTCTTACTCCTACAAGGGTCACTTCAATCTAATTAAATCCTTTTGATCTTAACATTCATGTATAGCTAGTACTTTTTCTACCATCTAAGCAGAAATATGACACAATGAAAAACAATTCTTAATATTAAATGACTACCCATGATTATGTAGCTATATATTACTCTGTTAAGTTTTTGATTCCTTTTAAAGGCTGAAAAGTTTTATTTTCATCCAGAGACTTAAATAAAGCTTTACCTAGCATTCATTCAAAAAGTAAATCAATGGGGATGTGGTGGAGGGGGACGACTTGAACAAAATGACTCTGAATAAAATGCTTTTATTAGTGAGATAAGTCTCTCAATTTTCTTTTCTTTTTTGGTACAAGGAATTGAACCTAGGGGCAATTCACCACTGAGCTACATCCTCAGTCCTTTTTAAATTTTTATTTTGAGACAGGGTCTCGCTAAGTTGCCAAGACTGGCCTGGAACTTGGCAATCCTCCTGCCTCAGTCTCCCAAAGTTGCCAGGATTACAAGCATGCACCACCATATTCAGCTCCTAAAATTTCTATTTTAGAAATAGAAAAAGCGTTGCTTAAAAATATATGTTGAAAGTACTTCTGTTACTTTCTATAAACTAGTACTAATAATGAAGTGTAGATATGTTCTATTTCCCTTTAAGAAGCTACTAAGAGATTCCACCAGAATTAAATCACATGATTATTACAGTCATTTCTTACAATTACACTTTATATAGTAAGTCAAATAAGCAAATTACTAAAAACTCTTTTCTGCTCTCCGGGAATTTTTAAAAAGCAAGTAGAGGTTAAATTCTACCCCTAGTGCATAAAACAAAGATTATAGAAAAATATTTGAACCTATACTATTCTACTGTTAAAAATTTCACTTCAAGAATTTCTTACCTGATATGTTAATTTTTAATCTTTACTTTGCTCACTCTAAGCTCTGTCATGATATTTGTTTGTCACTGAAATCTTTTCAGTTTATCTTCAAATTTCATGTATTGTTTTTTTAAAAAAAGGAAATAATTTTCTTTTTTTACATATGTACTTTACCTCGTATACAGTCCATCTCCCATAAACAGCACGGTAAACACCACTTCTGCCCTCAGATAAGGTGGGCTTTTTTGAGGAGTGGGTTACCAGGGATTGAACTCGGGGGCACTCAACCACTGAGCCACATCCCCAGCCCTGTTTTGTATCTTTATAAGAGACAGAGTCTCACCAAGTTGCTTAGTGCCTCGCTTTTGCTTTGAACTCAAGATCCTACTGCCTCAGCCTCTCAAGCCACTGGGATTATAGGTGTGAGCCACTGTGCCTGGCTAAGGTGGGCTTTAAATGTTAAAGTTAACCATATTACTTTCACATTTAAGGAAAGTGCATTTTGCTTAGAAAATTTAAGGATCTTTTCAAATAAACATTTTTTTTTACAGATGAGTTTGATAAAACTTTCCTTATAGAACTGAGGGGAAACAAAAGAAAGATATTACAAATCCCACTTTGTTCAACAGGGAAAAGGCTACTCCTATGGTTTGTACCTGAAATGTCCCCCAAAATCTCATGTGTTAGAAGTATGGTCCCCAATATAGCAAATTTCAGAGGTGAGGCTTTTAGGGCTTTAACCTAATCAGTGGAACAATCCATCTGATGGATTAATAATTTGAATGGGCTACTGGGTACTAACTGTACTCAGGGGGTGTGGCTGGAGGAAGTAGGTCACTGGGGCCATGGCCTTACACTGTATCTTATCCCTATCTCCTCAATTTCCCTGTGCTTTCCAGCTGCCAAATGCTGAGCAGTTTTCTTCCACATATCCTTCTACCACAATGTTCTGCTGCATCTTGGCTCCAGAGAAATGGAGTCATTAACTATAGGCTGACCCCTCTGAAATCATGATCCAAAATAAACTTTTCCTTCAATTGTTCTTGTCAGGTAAATTTTGGTCACAGCAACAAAATTCTGACTAATATGGCTACTACACACAATCTAAAAACAAAATTTTATGTCTATATTTATAAAACATCTAACTTTTCTATTATAAAGAAAACCATTTGTACATAAATCTGACTCTTCAATAAATAAACACAAGCACATTTATTAGATTCTCAGGCAGGGGAGAAAATGCCCAAGACTCTATAGTAGTTTTGAGCCTATTTCTATGGATTAGATGGGTGTTTGGAGAGAGGGGCCAAGTTAGGAAGACGAATTCTTATACCTTGAAATAAACTTTTGACAAAGAGATCCTAACAATATTCTCAAACTGGCTCATAGGTTACTACACATATTTAGCAGCAAATTTCAAAGGAAAAATAAACTCTCATTGTTTTTAAAACCTTTATGAAAATATTCATGACATCTATTATATTTTTTTTCTTAATTATTTTACAACACAAATCTACAAAAGCAATTAAAAAAATTCCCAAAGTCAACATGACACAGCAACAGAACCAAGAATTTATGACTCTAAGAAAAAGTAAAATATTCTTGGCATGGTGGTACACACCTATAATCCCAGCAAATCAGGAAGCTGAGGCAAGAAGATCACAAGTTGGAGACCAACCTCAATAATTTAGTGAGACCTCAAAAAATAATTAAGAAAAAGTAAAATGTGTCTATAGCAATACCACACTGAATCCACCTGACCTCGTCTGATCTTAAGAGGCTAAAAATGGACAAGACTGGTTATTATGTGGATAAGGAAAAAGTAAAAGTCACTTGGATGGATACTGGCATTCCATGAAGTAACATTTTCTAAAATCAAACAATAAACACAATTATCCTAGATTCTTGGTATTATTTGTTTTCAAGATTTTAATTTGAAAAGTATTATACTTTTGTAATGATTCACTAATATAATAGTAGTTAAGTTGTCCTAGGCTCTAGAAAAGTAAGAAAAACTTTTGATAAGCAAGCTTCAGAATAAAATTTCAAAGGCAGCAAAGAACACATAAAATAAATTATTTATATGCTATGAAGAATGTTAAATAATTAAAGATTTCTTAACACTTCAATACCTAATTTGATATCTCCCTAAAAATATAATTTAATTCTATTAATCCCAACAATTTCCATACAGTTATATTAAAATAAGTGCACTGAAAATCCAGAAATACTTCAAAATTTTCCTTGAAAATTCAATACATGTAAACTACACACATACACATACACACACACACACACACACACACACACACATATATATAAAGGTCTGCACATTAATATTTCTTTTAGGTTATCTAAAATCATTTGTGCAGCATCTCTTCTCTCATCTAGCTACTGTATGATTTAGGTTATACCTCCAAACAGTGCTTATTTTATTACTTGATTATAATCAATAACATTTAACCATTAGAATGAATGGAAAAAAGTATATTCATTTTATCTGACATTTTAAAATGTACGCTAATGAGGTATTAGTATCTATTATCTGAATTTACTATTGATGTTTAACATAATACTTTCACTTCTACAATTACACTGAGACCCTGAAAAAATATGTATAATTTTGAAAAAGATTCTGCTTCCATTACAAATGTTACTCACCTGTTTGAACATCAATAACCATCTGATGGCCCCCTCTCATTCCTGGTCGGTTATCTTCTCCATCACCTGAAGCAGAAACATATTTTCTTTAAAAGAAATAATAAAAAATAAAATAAAAAATAAACTGCAAATCCAGAGTAGCTTAATTCATAAGTCTATAATGGATAGTGAAAATACCTACACTTATTCTTTCAAAATGTTAAAAGTAAGTAAAAAGACATCAACTTAAATCTATATTTCTAATAATTATTTTGATTTTTCTTCCTATTGCTTGTAGGCTACTAACACAACTAGAAGCTATTTTCAATTTATTTATGAATAAAGCTATCAGTCAGCCAAGATTCTGGATATCTTATAAAAACCTAAGATGAAATCTCTAAATTACTTGAATGCCAAAGTAAAAATGTAAAATAATCTCAAAATTAGAACTCATGTCTATATTTCAGACATATTTTATTAGTATATTGAGCAATATTAAGGTTCATAAAATGAGCTATTTAAAACTAGGATGGGGCTTGGGATGTGGCTCAAGTGGTAGCATGCTGGTCTGGCATGCATGGGGCACTAGGTTCGACCCTCAGCACCACATAAAAATAAAATATTGTGTCCACCTAAAACGAAGGAATAAACATTTAAAATAAATAAATAAATAAAACTAGGATGTTATCAAGTTTTATATTAATAATTTCTTTATTGCAATTATTTTATGCCATTACTTCAGAAATCACTTCCCACATAATTTATCAGCTATTTTGAGTACCGACTGAGAAAATATAAGGTTTACTTCACTTTGATTTTTTATTTCTACTTGGATCTTAATAGATTTGAATATAATGAGTAAAGTTTTTAGAAACTTCTGAAGGAGAAAACTATTGTTCTACTTATATCTAATCCTAATTCACACCAAAGCTTATATAAATAAAGAAATAATTCATTTTAATGGTTCAATAAGTTATAGGATTCTCCTCCTCCTAATTCTCTATTTTTCTTTGGTGGGGTGGCAGAGTGTTACTGGGAATTGAGCCAGGTCCTTGCACTTGCTTTGTTAAGTGTCCTACCTCTGAGCTACATCCCTAGTTCTTTTTGTTTTGAGATAGGGTCTCACTAAGTTGCTGAGGCTGGCCTTAAACTTGTGATCCTTCTGTCTCAGCCTCCCATGTAAGTAGGATTATAGGCATATGCTCTGTGCCCAGTTAAGGTTATTGGATTTTAATATCTTACTTGATATGACCAGAAAGTGCAAGGTTTTCTTGGTAAGTTTCTCATTAGTTGAAATATGTAATTTAGGCTAATTTCACTGATATAAAATTAAAAACATTTTTTTACTAATTTCACCAGAATTAGTAAAAAGGTACTACAAACAACTAAAATATCAGTGCTTAGACAGTCATGTGCTACTTAGGAATGGAGATAATTTCAGAGAAATGTGTCTTTAGGCTATTCTGTCAATGTGTAAACATCACAAAGTACATTTACACAAACCTAGATGGTGTACTTTACTGAATACATGGTTTTAATGGTAAGGCTTATTGCTTCTGAGCTACAACCTGTACTACAATCTTGTACTGAATTCTGTAAGCAACTGTAAGACAATCAAGTATCTGCATATCAAAACACAGAAAAAGTCCAGTGAAAATACTAGGTGATATGATTTTTCAGTTCCATTATAAGCTTATGGGACCCCCATCATTGAGAAAAATGTTGGGCAGTACATGACCAAATACAGAAAATAAGATGTAAAACCAAATCTTTTCATTACTAGTATATTCAATGGCTAATCATTTATAAGTTTTCCTGCAACGTCTTTCTCCTTTCTAATACTTAGGGTTTTGTTTTGTTTTTTTTTAGATTTTGCAGCTCATTTTTTAAAAAATATTTATTTATTTATTAGTTATTGGCGGACACAACATCTTTGTTTGTATGTGGTGCTGGAGGATCGAACCCGGGCCGCACGCATGCCAGGTGAGCGCGCTACCGCTTGAGCCACATCCCCAGCCCCAAGATTTTGCAGCTCATTAACACCAAAACTTTGCTGTTTTTTTTTTTTTCCTTCTCCCAGTCAAAAGTGCCACTTCTAAGAACAGATTTCAAAAACACTAACATATTCATTTTCAGTATGTCTTCATTTTTCATATTTAATCCATAATTTGTAAATGCATCTCTGTCTTTGAAGAAAATTATTTCATATGTGACTGATAAAATACGAGAATCATGTCCATATATTATAGACAAAATTATGGAACTTCACATGTAGTTTTCCCCTGCATATTGTTTAGTCCTATCAGAGAAAAGAAAGCTTTCTCACAGCTAAAGAAAAGGCCTTAGCAATATATGAAGATCATAAGGAAAAAAGCTACATATCAATAAAAGTGCTTCCTTTTACTGTTGGTAGTTGAACTAAAGAAATGCTACACTTTTCACTGTGTTACTATATGCAAAGCAATTAGTGTAGATAAAGTATTGACAAAAATTTCCCCCATGAGAAAATAAGGATTAATGAAGAAGTCTAAACTCTAACTCAGATTTCAAGTTTTGATGAATACAGTCCCTATTAGAAATAGCAAATGCCTTCAGGATAAGAAGGCATGAGTCCCAAGGTTTACAATTTAAATTCACTATGGTACTCAATATAAACTCTTTTGAAGATTTAACTGCACTGTTTTTATAATAATTATTATACTAGCTTTTAATAGTATCTGTTTATAAAGTTCCATAGATTTAGAATGGTCTATTCCTGATTTCTCTCAGAAGCTTCTTCAGGTTTAGAAAGCCATTTTGCCAAACTTAAGGTTTTTCAGGACCACCTGTATGGTAATACAACATAGCCTATAATTTAACAGTATCTCCATAAAAGTAGTTTACAATATAGTCCATGCATCAAAACTGCCAATTTTGTGTTAGAACAATAAAACAAGAGTTTAAAAGACAATAAACTAGGGCTGTGGGTGTAGTTCAGTGGTAGAGTACTTGCTTAGTGTGAGGTCCTGGGTTCAAACCCAGCACCACACAAACACATATAAACCCCATATGCATTTATATAATACTAAGTCTGCCATCCAGTTAAGGAAACTTTGTATTATTTAAACACCTGCTTCTTATTAATATTATCATGAAACTTGAACTATCATAGGAACACTGAGACACTAATGAAGAAGCATCACATCTAGAATGTATAGTTTACCTTTGGTGCTTTTGGGAATGATTTGACTCCATCGTGGCTTATACTCCTGTTGACTGATATACTGATTGAACAGGCCATCTGCAAAAAAAAAAAAAAAAAAAAAAAAAAAAACGAGAAAGAATTACATCTTAGCAAGATTTTTTATCATAGGAAAGAAAAAAGAATTCTACATTAAGAGAAACTACTAATATGTCACTAATACAATAGCACACTTTCATAAAATGTTATCACTTCAGTTTCCTGTCATGCTACCCCAAACAGAAATTGTAAAGTGTTAGTTGACACAACCACATAAACAAACTGCATTAGTGGTAGCTCCCATTAAATATACTATGTTTCCCATTATTATTTCACTTACTAGATATAAAGTCATTACTGCACTCAATGGTCAAGTACATGACATTAACAGGGGTGGGGGTGTTTAAACAGAGACCTTGAAAGAAAGAAAAGGGAATTATCTGGGAGGGGGAAAAAAGGCAGAAAATTCAAGGCTGCAAAATAGAACCAGTAGAAAGTAAAATAATTTATAAATAATCTGAGTAAGTGTTCCATATTATTGAAATAAGACTTGTACACCTTTTCAAAATTGTTTCTGTCCAAGTCCAGTGGCATATTCCTATAATTCCAGCTGAGGAAGGAGGTTCACAAGTTTGAGGACAGTGTGGGCAACTTAGAGAGACCCTGTCTCAAAATAATTATTTAAAAAGGGCTAATATAGCTCTCAGGAATAGAGCATTCCTGAATGCCAGCTCTACTACTGGGGAGGGGGACAGTTCTGGCATTAATATAAATACAAATGGAAATAGAAAAGGATAATTAAAGATTAAGAGTTATATTTAATTCTTTTATGTGATCTCCCAACACTCATCTTTATTTGAATCGCCAAACTTTTCATCTTTATGCCCTATAATGAAATAGATTCACTGCACTCCAATCCCTTTGAGTCCAGAGTATTCTGTGTCAGTACTTTGTTACCAGAATCCAAAAGAACTAGAGAAGGACGTGGGAGCTCCAACGTACTTGGACTAGGGACTTCAACAGTACTTCTTCAGGGAAAGATAAAACTAACACTTTAAAGTACAAATTCTATTATTATATAGTTTTCTTTGAATACAGCTATTTACCAATAAGAGTACCAGCAGCAGTAACAGAACTATATTTATTGAATACTTACTAAATGTTAGAATCTGTGCTGTTTTATTTATCTCACTTAATTCTAAAAACAACCCTAAGAACCAGGCACTATCATCTTCATTTTACAAACAGGGAAGTACATACTTATAGAAATTAAGTAACTTAACCAAAATCACATAACTCTTAAGTAGTGGGGTTGGGACTCAAGTTCTACTGTTTACTTCTGAAACATCAATAAATTCTTAATCTACTTCTTAAGAGGAGTTTCTACACTAGTTACTGTAATTAAATGAGACTGAATCCCCACATGCATCCATCTAACCCAAATGATTATCAATTGGTATGGAACCCTATTCCAGCTAATAAAACATGAGGAAACTCGTAAGGGACTTCTAGACAATGTTTTTTTTTTTACTTTGAAACAAATAAACACAGAAGAAGGAAAAACTACTTTTATTCCTCCAGACATTGATATATCTGTATGCAATGTACAACTGCTCAGGTCAGTCTGTATGGGAATGAAATGTATTCTCTAATGACAGAAGAGAAAGAAATTGGAACATAGAATCAACCAACCATGAAATCCACCTTACCTCGGGACTTTAAGTGATGAAATATTTCCTTACCAAGCTTGGATTTTCTTTTACATGGAGCCAAAAAGATTATAATTTTTAGCTACCTTTACTATAAATTCTGTCCTTTGCCATAGACTTCAACCTGAATAAAGATTTTCTTAGCTGGGGGGAGTGATGCCTATCTATAGTCCCAGCTACCCAGGCCACTGAGGCAGAAAGATTGCTTAAGCTCATGCATTAAAAGACCACACTGGCAAGATGGTGAAAACCCATCTCAAAACAAACAAAAACAAAAACAAAACAAACAAAAACCAGACTTTTCCCCAGTAGACATTGAAAGCAAAGACTTGTTCAAAGAATTTGTAAGTAAAACAGGTATGTTCTTCATGATTTATTTACTGGCCAGTGACCATGCAGTTTAGACAAATCTCCCTTATCCCCTTCTTTTCTGGATAATTATGAAACTCAGTTGTAATCGACCCTTTCAGCTTCAAATCTTTCATTTGACTTTAATGGGAAATTCCATCCTACACACTGATACAATTTCTTTTTTCCTTTGCCTTTGGGACTTGTCAAAATTTTTGCCAAAGAAAAGTTTCTTTTTAAATTACACTCTAAATTGGCACTTACATTTAATTATTACAGCAAGAGGAACAAAGAGAATCATAACTTACTTTAGTGAATTTTTATCATATAATTTACTCCCTCATGGACTTTTCCAATGACTTTTGCCCCATCCAGCCTACTCTGACCAAAACCTTTCTTCCATTATAAAAGGTGGGAACCCTTTTTTCTCAGATAAAATACGTGGGGCTCTTATTCATGGTAATAATATAACGATATAAAAATATTAACAGTAAATTTAGAATATCTAGAAATAAAATGCAGTAATGAACTTTTATTCAACTTTGAAAGGGGGACAAGAAAGTTTAAAAATGCTCCTTTAAAAAATTAAAGGTAATATAAAAGTATCCAATTATTCAAAGACCTAGATTTTTAAATATACAGTAAGTCCATGCAATAGCTGGGGTGAGGAAAGCAAATGGTGGAAATACATACAGAAAACAGAAGAAAATGAGAAAACTGCAGATGTCAAGTATCTTGGAATATAAAATTGGAATTTATTAGTTGGATGGGCCCTGAGGTTCCTTCTAAATTCTGAGATGTTTGAACTAATACATTTACTTGCACTCTGTGTGTATGCCTAATTCTACTTTGTTTATCTTAGAAGAGTTATTATCTTTTCTTTGTCCTTTAAACCTTCTGTGATTCTTATATTAAAAGAGAAATCACAAATTTACTGGGGGAAATTCTTCTAAATGCTCACAAGTCAGTGATCAAAGCAATAGTTGTAATCAGATAAAGGATCCCACCCCTGATCTTTAAGTCATGCCGAACAGTACAGATAAAATTAACTGCTTCTCCAAGAACCCTCTATCCTCATTCATACCAGCCTAAAAAGTTTAATATACTCTACATATCCAGATCTCATGTTTATTTCTTTTCTATCAAACACAACTGTCCCATTTAAAACAAATGTAAGAACACATATTAAGCATTTATAAGGCTCTGGGTTTGATATCTCTCTCTCAAACACACAAACACATCATGTACACACAAAGTAATTGGCCTAAAAAAATACTGTCAAAAATTTTCAAAGCAAAAAAAAAAAAAAACTCTCAAACATGACAAAATTTTTGTTAAAGAATTCTGTAAATACATACACATGAAGATAGAAAAAAAATAACAGCATACATCAGAAAGGTAAAAGTAATTTCTTTGGTTGGTGGGATTAGGATACTTTTGGGAATTTTTTTTTAACTTTTTTATATTTCCAAATTTTTTGTTCCAAGCAGTATAATTACCTGAAGAAAAACCAGAAAACACATAAATATGTGAAACTATTTTTTAAATTTTAGAAGAATTTTATACCATATTGTTACAAAAGTCCCTCCTTATCCATGAGGGATAAATTCCAAGACCCTCAGTTGATGCCCGAATCTACAGATATATAATTTTCTATTTGCTATTGTTTTCCCATACATAACATACCAAGGATGAAGTTTAACTTATAAATTAAACAAAGAAGTTAACAATAATAAAATAGAACACACATATTGCCAGTAATAATATACTATGATAAAAGTTCTACAAATGTACTCTTATTCTCTTTCAAACTATGACATTTCTGATTTCACATTTTCAGAATACGGGTGATTACTGATATCTTAAACAGATATCAAAACCACAGATAAGGGGGGGACTTGTATAAGGGGGACGAAAATAAGCTATTTTCATACCTTTTGCTATCTCTGAAATGTCTCTTCTTCACAGTTTACTAAACATATCGTGTTTCTATAAGCAGTGCTTTGTACTCTGACATCAGCTTATTTAATCAAGGATAAAGAGAGCCAAATATATCCAAAGGCATTTACAATCAACCTGGCAGAAATTACTTACAAAATTTAAAACATTAGGTACTCCACATTTATCACATATATATCACTTATATATGTGAGATACATACATACATATATGTGTGTGTGTGTAAAAGATACATACATTTATCTACACATATCATATAGTAGTTCCTTAAAGAAAAACTAAGATAAAATATAACTTACAGACATGATAATTTTACATATGCAAGAACATATGAAAAAGAGTTAAACTTTGGGAAACAAAATTCATTATTCCAGATCATTTTACCACAATATTAAGCAAATCCAATATAATAAAACAGAAATAAAGCTAAAATATATTACTTATGATTTAAAGGGAAAATGTGACACCTCTCTTAAAAATCTATTGGCTACTATGGCTGGAGGTTACATTTTATTTCTTCTTGAAAACACTAGTTTGTCATCATTCCAGAAGCATTCCTGTCAGGTGGAACTAGCAATGGCTAGTTTGAGAAGCTGGATATTCCACCAAACCACAACCAAAAACAAACCCCAAACTCCAAACCAAACCATCTCTTATTTTGGTGAAATTATGACTTAATCTAAGATATACTTTATAAGCTTATTAATTCCAGTCTTCTCACTCCCCTATATATACACAAAGAAATAAAACACACTCACACCTCCAAGTATTGACACTCACTTTATAATATTAAATCGTCAACCATGATGTACAATAAATATTACTTAAGACCTATGATAAACAATGTGCCATTTTGTATAATAAATTAAAGATCAATCCCATATATGTTAATACATTTATTGCCTATTGCCAGGTATTATGGTTTAGACATGAGGAGTCCCTCAAAAGTTCTTGTGTCGTTAGTTTAATTTAATAATTTCACAATATATACTAATATCAAAACATCATATTGTACTTCATAAGTTATATATAATTACTATTGTCAATTTAAAATAAATTACAGGGCTGGAAAAAAAAAGTTCCTGTGTCAATCCAAGAATATTCAGAGGTGAAATAATTAGATTATAAGAGCTAGACAGTTCATCATATTTGTATGGTACCCTATGCAAGTGGGGTGTGGTTTAGGAGGTGGGTCACTTGGAGCATTTCCTGGAAGGGTGCATCTTTCCTGCTGCCCCTTTTAGCTTCTCTCTCTGCTTCCTGGCTGTCAAGAATAGAGCAGTACTCCTCCACAATGTCCTTCTGCCATGATGTTCTGCCTCACCTTGGGCTCAGAGCAATGGATTTGGCCCACCATGGACTAAACTTCTGAAATGGTGAGCCAAAATAGCCTTTTTTC